CTTTGAAATCTTAAATAGAAACCCCTATTTTTTATTGCAGATTTAGATTCTCCGTGAAAAAATATGTAACTTTTGTATGAGACATTTTTTTCGTTTCATGATAGATGGCGCTGTAATCGGCAAAAATGAAAATGAGTTGAAAATTGTTGAAAAATGGTAATATCTCAAAAAAATACACATCAGATTAGGAACATCAAAGTAAATTTTTTGATATTTTTGAAAATGCTATCATGTGACACCGTCTACCCTCCTGCAATGCATTCCTAGACTACTTTTAGCTTTACCCAGGAACAACGACGTGGACGTAGTAGTAATTTGTTCCCTTCGGAGTTCTTGATTTTGGTGAGTCCCCTTGCCTCTCACTATCTCGGGGTGCTTGATTACTGTGAGTCCCCTTGCCTCTCACTATCTCGGGGTGCTTGATTACTTTGAGTCCCCTTGCCTCTCACAAGTGTTTCATTGAAGTAAATGTTCGAAATGATGTCCGTTGTTTCTAATGCACATTGCAACTCTGTGTCTGAAAGACAATCCGACATTTATAAGTGTCTCTGCGCTAATGTTTGCACATTCATTGATAATTCGCTGCTGCATATTTTCTGGGGTTGTTGGTACATGTAAACTCTCTCTTTTAGCTTTCCCCACAGGAAAAAATCGGCAGAAGTCAAATCGGGTGAACGTGCGGGCCAATTTTGAGGACCTCCTCGTCCAATCCATCGACCCGGATAGTTTCGATTCAAAACTTCTTGAGATATTCGTGAATAATGCGCTGGGCATCCATTGTGTTGAAACCACATATCCATTCTTGTTTGAAGTGGAACATCTTCCATTAGTATGGGTAAAACATTATCTAAAAAGTCGCTGTACATTTGACCATTCAGATTACCTTCTATGAAGTATGGGCCAATTACCTGAGTACCTAAAATACCGCACCAAACATTCCACGGGCGTTGATGTTCAACTTGCCTTAACCAATGGGGATTCTCCACTGACCAATAATGCATATTATGTCGATTCACTTGACCACGATTCGTAAAATTTGATTCATCAGAGAAAAGTATCTGTGAAATGAAATTATCATTGACTGCCAGTTGTTGC